TCTCTCCAAAGTGTCCACAAAGATACATATGCCCATTAGGAGAAAAAGTAAGAATATACATATCATTAACCATATCAGAGAATAAAAAAGTTAAGAATGATATAATATATTTATATTGAATGACTACTTGAAAATAGAGCAACTTATTTGTTTTATTTCTCAGATTCCTTGGGCAAAACTCATTTAAATTCTGAAGTGAAAAATGTACATTTCTTGTACCATACAAGTATCAAGATGAGTTGAGATTCCCAGAGAAAAACTTAAGTCTTGCCTTTTGAGTCTTTTCTCTCACCAAAAAAAAAAAAAACCTAAATCATCCTGACTGCTACATGCATGCATATTCAAATCACTTCCCCTTGATTAACATTAAAAAGAAACATTTCTGCCCAAGACTTGCAATGACTTTTTTCTAGCTAAAGGATAATCATTCTACAAATAATTTGCCCAGTGACTGTAGTCATTCATAACATACATAATAGTTGCAAAGCACAGTTTAAGTACACTGCCTTTTATTAGCATTTTTTTTTAATAAAAGGGATGCATATCAGAGTGTAAGAACTGGAAAGTATTTCCATAGCAATAATTAATAAGAGAATGCTGGTTTAAGTTCTTAAAGATGGAAATCTTAATAAAATGCATTCGGTCTGTGAACTAGTTATCAACAGCAGGATACCCAACTGGCAAGGCTGCTGTGCACAGGACAACCACCCCACCCCTTGGTTACCATTTCAAGATATTCTGTCAATGCTCAGTTAAAAAGAAGACTTACTTAAGAGACAAAAAAAAAAAAAAAAAGGGGGGGGGGGTGGGGTGGGGTGAGTGGAATTAAACCTTTATTGAAACCTATCCAGTGGCAAGAATACCTTGTGTATTATATTATGTTCTAGACATTCAAGAAAGAATTCACTGGAGTGATTTTCACAATGCATTCATAAAAACAGCCTTAAATATTGTTAAAAGCGCAATTAAGCGCCAGTCCTGAGTTCTAATAGGTTTTTAATTTTGATCGCCAACCACCTACTTTTGTCTTATTTTCCTACCAAAACTTCGGCCACATAGCTGGAAAAAAAAAAAAAAAAGTCGTGATCGTGTTTCCATTCTTAAGTCAAATTATTACATATCACTAATTTATGCCTCACCACAGAAAATGCCCAAGATTCATCTATATTTAAAACATAAAACACATGCAAAATTTCAAGATCTGCCAAATACATAGAATCAGCCTTATAAAAGCGTTTGTTTTCAGTAAGTTTTAGAACTGCAGCAGAGGGCCGCCACGTAAAATCACCAGCAAGAGAAAATGTCAACTGTAAACCGCTGGTTGAATTATTCGTGGCTCAAACAAATGTCCCACCGACGGCTACATTAGTCGACCATTTGGGGGAGAGGAGAGAACGCGGTAAACAACTCAGAAAGAGTTCCGAACTGAGCACCATCAGCCCTTTCTTTTCCCAAGAGTACTACTGCAATCTGAGGTTCACGGAAAGGAGAAGCCACCGAACAGACATCCGTGGGTCCGCAGCCCCAGCCGCTGGCCGCGCATCCCGGGTGGGGGCGGGGAGGCTCGCCCGCAGCCGCCGGAGGTCGCTGAGGCCCGAGCCCGCGGCGGGCGCGGAGGGGGAGGGGCTGCGCCAGGCGCAGGGCAGAGGGAGGGGAGGAGAGCCGGGCGCGGGGCCCCTTTGGCTCAGCAGCTCCGGTTACAGTGCGGACCCTTCCCCTAGGTTTCACCAAATCTCAACGAAATGGAAGGCCAGGTCTTGGTAAATCAATTCAGTAGGTTAGAGCCGTAGTGATTTTGCACCGAGTTTCAATTAGCCACGGCAAACCTCCTCCATTGTAGGCGCCGCCGCTCGGGGAGCTGAGCTGGGTGGCTGGCGCGCAGGGCCCCTACTCGCCTCCCCGCCTACCTCCGCGCGGCCCCCAGGGAGAGGAGGTGAAGGCACCGAAGAGGGGCCGGGGCGCGCGTGCCCGGTTACTCTTGCCAGCCAGGGCCTGTGCAAGGCTCCAGGACAGATCCGGGTGTGAAAAGGGGATGGGGTTGGGCTGGCCAGGCAAACGGTCCCCAGAGAGCAGGGAGCGCGCGCTCTGTGGGTCGTGCCTGCTCCGCCGCCAACCTCGGAGCCCCGAGTCGGCCGTTCTGGGAAAACAATCAAGATGCGGAGCCACCTTTCTCGCCGGGGCTCGCAGGGAGCTGGTTCCCGGGCGGCCTAAGAGCCCGCCCACAGGGCAGGCGTGGTGAAGGCCCGGGGCGCGCGGGTGCGGCAGGCGTTTCCTCCCCGGGTTTGCTCTCTCCCTTCCTCCCACCCCACGGCCCAGTGGCTCCCTTTCCTACCAGGGGCTGGAGTCACCAGCACGGGTGTCCATCCCCACGCGCCTGCAGAATCTGCAGCGGCATGCGCCCCAGCGCTCACGGCGGCGGGGCAAGGAGAGCCAGAAATGGTACCGAAGCTCTGCCCTTTGGCCCCCTTACATTTAGCCGCTGTCAAGTCCACACGGGCACTCAGGTCGCGGTTCGCGTCGCACAGTGGCCGTGCTGCGTCCCTCCACCCAACCCGCCGCATCCTCGTTCGCCAGACTCCCGCTCGCTCGCTACGTCTACCTCGCCGCGCCCTGAGGCCCCCAGGCGTCCTCCATCCTCAGCTCCCCCACAGCTCCATGGTTCCAGGGGAGAGGGGGGGAGGCCGAAACTGACACCTTCTCCCCAACCTTCACCCCCTTTTGCTCATCACAGCTAGAGATCAAGAACAGCGGCGTTGTTCGCCACCAGCTTCACCTCTGCGCACACGCAAAGATGCAACGTAAAAAAAAAAAAATTCAAAACTAGAAACAGTTGTCTCCACCCTCTGAAGGGGAGCGGAGAGGATCGGAGCACGCCGAAAGCTCGCTGCCCAAGGGCGGCCGTCACCGCGACGCACAACGGGTACGCAGACCCGCGCAGAGAACGTCCATCTCCTAGCCAGCGCATGACCCAGACCCAAGGAGCTGGCAATCCCGTCCTCTCCAAAGGCGCCCCTCCCCGACCAGCAGCTGAGCCTTCCGCGCAGCCCGCCTGCCTGCGGGGGTGGGTGGTTGAAGGGCTGGGAGGAGGGGAGGAGGTGAGAAAGGAAATGGTGGGGTGGGGGTGGGGACAAGGAAAGGGAAGGCAGAGAAAACTCTTCCCCTGTCTTGCACAACTAGCGGGAGGAAGAGGAAAAATTCTGCCTGCCAATTGAACACTTTTCAGCCTAACCACTCTAAATGTAAAAAAATCTCTTCTGCTACCCCTCATCCGCGCACACAACAGCCTCACCACCGAATGCGCTGCGACAACAGGACCTCCAGTTTGACTTCCATAGAGACTATGGGAGATGTGAATTTCTATCAGTTCCAGCTGATTTATTAAATTGTCAAGATACAGACTTCCAGCACACACAAAAAATAAAAAATAAAACAAAACAAAACAAAAAAAAAAACAGGCAATGATGTCGACAGTGCATTGAGTCTGCTTTGCCACCATTTGCTACAAAATATGCAGATGGTCTGTACTTTATTTAGATTATATTGCACAAAATGAGAAACTTTTTAAACTATGTGCCTTTTTTTTTCTTTTTTGCTAAAAATTGAGAATCCAGTTTCAAACCTTCCACCTGGGGCCCCACCACATAGCACAGCGTATGAGATACATAAACTCCTACCATAGTACAGTACATACAATCTTCAAACTAGGTAACAGCTCTGAGGTCTATATCGCCATTTTCAATAAATCTTTACCTACAAATATTGAACAAATCTCTACTATAGCTGTACAAAAAAAAATTTGCTTTTTTTAAACCACAAGGCCTTTAGATGCAAGGATTACTTAAAAATTTTAATCCTTTTTAAACCAGGACATAACGTACCAACATATTTGCATGCTTAAAAAAAATAGAAGAAAAAAGAAAAAAAAATCAGGAAAAAAAGAAATCAAAAGGGAAGAAGTGCCTGAAAGTCTTACTGAAAAAACACAGCAAGAATGTTCCCTTTTCACTGTACAAAAATACGCCTGAAAATATATTAATTTTTAAAAAAGACTGAGGTCTGTTATGTATCAAAAATGTTTCAATACCTTTTGTACTGAGGTCTAGGCTGTCTGGTATTCAATCAAGGAGGTATAAGGGAACAAGTTACAAAAAAAAAGTTGGCAAGTAGAAATCACATTTGTAAAACCATAAACAATTTGATCTGAAAAGTAAACTCTGATCTTAAATCAGTTCACAGTTTTTTTTTTTTTTTGTAAGCGTTTGTACAGTCTGCATTTTTTCAAGCTCCCTGCAGTTTTATTAAGAATCGGATGCATAGAAGACATCAGTTTTCTCCCTCCAAAAAAATAAAATGAAATAAAAAGTTGCAATGGTCCCTTTTTTTCTTTTTTCTTTTCTTTTTTTTTGCTTTAAAAAAAAATCACCAGTTCTTTAAGATCTCCTAAGGGGGAAAAATTTTCCACCAACTCCCTAGAGTAACAGTTGTGCTGCCAAAAGGGTCCTCTGCAGACGTCTTCCAGACTTCAAAGACCGACAAGCTTCAAACAGCGCCTTCCGGAGCGGGTCCTCCTTCCCCTCCCCCGCCCCGTCCCCTCCGCCTTTGTTGCAATCACGATTTTCAGGAAAAAGAAATAGTAATTACAAAAACACATTTTTTGGGGAAAAAAATCACAACTCCAGACTAGGTATGCAACTACCTTGAGACACGATAAAAGAAGGGAGGGGGAACAAAAAAAAGGAGAGGAAAAATATATAAAAACTACTCAATTCACTTTAACTCCACCAAAATTTTCATCATCTTTTCCAATTTCTTTGCGTCACATCTTATCAATATCATCAGCATCTTCTTCTCTCCCCACCCTACCACCACCACCATTAAACACCACTAACACCATCATCATCATCATCATCATCATCATCATCATTATCCTGACCACCACGACTTCCTCCCAAGGAACCCTGCACCCGCCGAGAGAAAGAGCGAGAAGCCGGGCGCCCCTTTCAATACGTGAACACCAGGTCGGAGAAGTTCGCCTCCAGCCAGTCCCCCGCGATCATCTCGCTCAGCTCCGGCGTGCAGTAGTCGGGGAACTCGAAGTGGGAGCCCAGGCTGCCTTCGCTGAACGAATCCAAATCCTTATCCACAAGCGACAGGGACAGGTTCCCCGCCGCCGCGCCGCCCCCCAGCTGCTGCTCGCTGGCGCTGTGCGCGCTTTGGGAGAAATTCAAGCTCAGGTCGAACATCAGGTCGTCGGCGTCCTCGCCGCTGCTGCTGCTACTGCTGCTGCCGCTGCTGGACGAAGACGAAGTGGAGACCGAGCGCGCGGACGCGGGCGACAGCGCGGGCTGCGCGAGCGGCGGCGGGTGCTGCTTGGTGATGTTCTTGAAGCTGTAGTAGAGACGGCTGCCGCCCCCAGCGCCGGAGGTCGCGCCTGCCCTCACCTCGTCGTAGAGACTCGCGCCCTCGGGGGACTCGGCCGAGCTGCTCAGCGTAGGGCTGGCGGGCACTTTGGCGACGTTGTAGCGTCTCAGCAGCTGTGGCGGCTGTTGCCCGGGTGGCTGCAGGAGTTGCTGGTGCGGCGGCTCCTCGTCCTCCTCGTCCACCTCCTGCTTGATCCTCAGCTGCAGCTCGTCTTCGTCCTCGTCGTCTTCGTCGTCCTCATCTAGAAACACGCACTTGACCGCCTTGCCCGCGCCGGCACCGCCCGCGCCGCTCACGCGCAGGCTGCCCAGCACGTAGTCGTCGCCAGCGCTGCCGTAGTCCCCCGGCTGGGCCGCCTTGCCTGCTCCGGCCTTGGCGCCGGCGGCCGCGGGGGCCTTGAGCTTGCCGCATTTCTTGCTGGAGCCCTTGGAGGTCTTGGCGCCGCCCGCGCTGCCGCCCGCGCCACCGCCGCCGCCTCCCGCGGAGCTCTTCTCCGGGCTCTGGCTCGCGCTGGGCTTGGCCGAGGGGTCCATTTTGGGCTTTTTCCGGGGCCGGTACTTGTAGTCGGGGTAGTCGGCCATGTGCTTAAGCCGCAGCCGCTCCGCCTCCCGGATGAACGGGATCTTTTCGCTGTCCTTCAGCATTTTCCATCGTTTGCCCAGCCTCTTGGAGATCTCGGCGTTGTGCATGTCCGGAGACTGCTCCATGATCTTCCTGCGCTCGATCTTGGACCACACCATGAAAGCGTTCATCGGCCGCTTTATGTGGCCCGACGCCGTCTTGCACCAGTCCGGGTCGCTCTCATCCAGGGCCACCGGGCTGCAAGCCATGAATTCGCCCTCCTCTGTGTCCAGCGCCTCCCGGGGCAGGTTGCTTTCCGCTTCCAAGCTCTCCGCCTGCTGCACCATGATCCGCTGTGGAGCTGGGCGCTCAAACCCGGGCCACTCGGTCTCGTGCAGAGGTCCCCCTCCCCCTCCCACCCCTCCACCTTCCCGGGCAAGTTGCAAAGTCCTCGGCGCCCCGCGTCCGCGGCTCCCCCCCTCCCCCCCGTCCCCCCTTCCAGGCTGCACACAGCGGCTGCGGCTGCTTCGGCGGCGACGGCCGCCCGCTCGTTTGTAGCTGCGGCCGGGACCGGAGGGACAGTAGCGGTAGTGGTGGTGGCGGCGGCGGCGTTCGAGGCAGCCCGGGACCCCTCTCTCCTGCTTGTGGCTCCCGCCGCAAGCGCCGGACCCTAGACACTCCCAATCGCGCGCGCTCCTTCTGCAAAAAGTTGAGGGCTCTCTCTCAACTAGTTATCAGGGTGTCATATGGGTGACATCACTCCCCGGCGCAGCCAATGGTTGGGAGCCGGCTCCGCCCATCTTCCTTTATTAACTCCGTGACTCCACCCCCTTTACCCCGCCCTCAGGGCTGGTTTGCAAAGATGGGGGCGGTGGGGTAGGAGGAGGCATGTCTAGAAATATGTTATTTTTAAAAAATCCGCGTGTGTGCACAGATGCACCTCTCCCCGGGATGCTCGCGAGCGTCGCACCGCACCGCGGAGAGCAGGCGGGTCTGGGGCGAAACGGGGCGCCAACAGAGGGTCTGAGGAAAGGCCCAGTGCCCCTTTGTGCCCACTCCACCCAAGGCCCGAGAGTGCAAGCCCACTGGGCCACCTCGCTCCCCGCGTGCATTCGGGCACGCGCCCAGTCTGGACAGAGGGTGCCCAGCTCCCCCGTGTGAGCTCAGCTGCTCCCCGGAGCGCCCCATGGGGCTGTGCTGCTCGGGGCGCCGCAGCCCGGAGCCCGCGCGAGAAAACCCGCTGTGTGCCTGGCCGGCGGAAGGTGGCGCTTTAACACAACAACCTTCTCATGGCACGTGGGCTCTTTTCTCCTTTTTCCCTTTCTCTCTTTTTCTAAAGCAAAGAAATCAATTTAAAGCCTGAGAGTCTGAATTCTCCCTCGCCGGTGCATTTTTTTGACGTTGTTGTTTTGTTTTGTCCTTCTTCTCTGTCTGTTTTCCCTCCCGGGAGTGTTTGGAGACGTCGCCGTGCGGGTTGGGCTGCGCCGCGCCCCCGCACGCCCCGCCCTGGGTGGAGGCCGGAGTAACGGTCTGCGGGCTTGGCTGTAGCCGGGTCCTCGCGATCAGTCTGGCCTCTGGCAAGGCCGGTTCCGAAGTGGGTACTGGGACCAGCAGGCTTCAGCAGCCCACCCCCCAGCCCCCTGCGTCACTTGTCAGGGTCTCGCTCTTCCCCCTTTCTCGCTCTCCTCCCCTCGCCGCTCCTCCGCCCCTCCCCCCGACTCCCTTTCTCCTTCCCAGCCCTCCTCTTCCTCTTTGTCCCTCCCCTTTCGTCGCTCACCAACGCCCTCCCCAGCAACCTCGTCCTGAAATCTTGCAGTCGGGAGCTAGCAAGCCTTCTGGGTCGCTTGCTGTTTTAGCTGAGCGACGTAAACCAAAGCTGAAATAAGGTGCACTCGAGTCTGAAGGCAGAACATTTCTTGTGTGCGTGCAGCGGTGGGGAGGCTGGAAGGGCGGCAGTGCGCGGGGTGGATGGTGTCGAGCAGCGCAATCCATGTTGCTGTGTTCCTTCGGAACCCGTTTTCCTTTGTGTTTACTTGGTCCCTCATGCCCATCTATGGTTATTCTCCAAGCAATTAAAAGGAAACCGCCGCTTCCTATTTAATGTCTGGTCGTCCCTGTCTTCCTCGTACCCCCCAGCTTGGTGGTGATGGTGGTGGTGGGGGGTGGCAACTTTGAGTAGTTCCTAAGATTCTGCGCCTGCCTCCCTCCCAGTGGCTCAGGAGAGAAGTCGCTGCACAGGACGAGTAGAATTATCTAAAACTACTTCCTTTCAGGTGTGTCCTTGCAAATAACGCTACATTTCTTAACTCACGGATTTTTTCTTTTCTTTTTTGAGGACTTTAATAACATAAAATGGTACCATGTTTTCGCAGATCATTATTTAAAAAAAAAATAACAAACACCATCACTATGTTTTAAAAGCCTCTTGCGGCATTTATTCTAAAGAAAACTGCCCCCAATACTTGTAATATTCAAGCCAACTTAAATCTCGATAGTGCTGGTTTTTTAATATTTTACTTTCTTTTTTCTTTCTTTCTTTCTTTTTCTTTTTTCCGCCATTGGAACAGAAAGAATTTAGTCATTCATGCTGGGTGACCTGAAATCTGGAGATGTATAAAACCCAAGGCAGTGTGTGAAAATCCATCTTCACTCCAGCAAAGCGGGCACTGCATCTTGTTTTACTCTTACCTCACACATTTCCTGGCTGCTGGGAAAGCAGCAGGAGGGAGGGGTGGAGCAAGCCATGAATCTACCCTCCTCTCTCCCCCACCCCCCAGCACTGGCAAATCCACACTCCGGATAGAGTGCTTCAAGGATTTTAGCTGTGTTCTCTGCATCAGAGTACGAGGGCACCTACCATTTTAGACGCTGACAGAATGCATTTGAAATCTGGCAAATTCCATACCCGTTTGCTGCCTTCATTCTGCAGACGGAATCCTGTTGAGCCGTAGAAAGAGAACGATCTGAGGGCTGAGCAATAATGGGTTTTACTCCCATAGTGCCATGATCTTCTCTCTCATCCTCTAGTAGAAGCAAGTGAAAACTCTATCTTTCAAGTATGGAACATAATGTCTGTTCAGAGAAAGGTGGGCTATTTGTTGAAGAGGATAAAGGCAAATAAGTTGGTTGTTTTTGCCGGGAGAATAGGGACTCAGAATGATAGGTGGAATGACTTGATGGGGTTTGAGTAAACACAATGCCGGGTTGGGGGTGGAAAGCCGCTTTGCAGGTGCCTGAGGGGTCCTCGAGCAAATTCCCCCACCCCCCACACAGGCAGCTTTAAGGCAGTTTTCACCAAAGATTAGCTAGGATGCTATTTTGTAACATGGACCCATCATATGTATTTAATATTATCCAGATTTAGCAAGGACTTGGAATAAGGAAAGAAAAAGAAAATCAAGTAACTAATCTGTATCTTTTGTTGTTGTTGTTCAGCAAAAGAAAAAAAGTTAAATCAGTATGATTTTCTTTAAGAGGAACATTTTTGAAAACTGCATGCTGCATACAGAAACAATATTTAGTACTGCAGAACAGATGCTTGCAACATCAGCAGGAGCCATTTAAAGGAATTTCAGGTTAACAAATAGAAAATATGGCTTTCTTTAATAATTTTTTTCAGTACTGGGGATTAATCCCAAGGCCTCACACATGTTGAGCAAGTGCTCTACCACTAAGCTACATTCCCAGCCCATTTTACCTTGTTTTAAGATATGGTCTTGATAAATTGCCCAGGCTGCCCTGGAACTTGTGATCCTCTAGCTTCAACCTCCAGAGTGACTAGGGTTACAGCTCTGTGCCATCAAGCCCAAAGAATAATGTAAACTAAAAATGCTGAAGGAATCAAGATTAGCCCATCAGTCATCTTTTCAGAGCCAATGTGTACAATTCTTTTTTGTGTGTATATCTATATACTTACCCACCAGAAGAGATGTAGCTTGTCTATTAACAATAACCATTGCTGGGTATATAATTAATGTTTGGAGTCTTAATAGTCACATTTGATTAAAACCACAAATGATTACATTCATGTAGCTGTTATTATCTTTTCAGTGCATCTTCACAAATAACTACTAGCAGGGCTATTACATAAGAGAAGGTATTCGATAAACTCTCAACATTCTGATGACACTTGAGAATTAGTATGAAATCGTTTTTCTCTGAAGAAGAAACACTTGTTAAGAAAATAACGTTCTAGAACTATCATGGGGCAAATACTTGACTTATTTAACTGAGCACATGTTTTAGTCAGCTTTTTCACTGCTGTGACCAAAAGACCTGACAAGAACAACTCTAGAGGAGGAGAAGTTCATTTGGTGCTCATTGTTCTAGAGGTCTCAGTCCATGGATAGCCAGCTGCATTGCTCTGGACCCCAGGTGAGGAAGAACATCAGGGAGAAGAACAGGGTGGAGGAAAGCAGCTCAGGGTGTGGTGGCCGAGAGAGACAAGCTAGGTCTGCCAGGGACACCCCCAGGGACGACCTTCTCCAGCCACACCCCACCTGCCTACAGTCACAACCCAGCTAATCCCACCCGGGATTGATGCATTGATCAGCTCATAACCAACCATTTCACCTCTGAACCTTCCTGCACCTTCGCACACAAGAGCTTTAGGGATGACTCATCTTAGCCACGACAGCACTGTTTTAAAAGCATCACAGCCCCTTCCATTTCCCAGTCTTTGAAAGGAGGCCAGGCAGTAGGACCCTTGTTCTCCTTCTCTTTAACTGTTCTTGGACTCCTCTGCTTTAGCTGCCTGGATTGACTTCCACGTCAGCCTGGGTGCAGCTCTGAATACCTTCTGTCTGCTAGACTTCCCTACTGAATGTCTGGCAGAGGTGATGAACGGAAGCTGAACTCGCCCTACACACACACACACACACACACACACACACACACACAGAGTCTCTAAGCTTTTCTTTCCTAACTTGGGAAACCCTGTCACACCACACGTAGATAAAAATAAAAGTGAGGGTGCATTCTCGGCTCTTCACCTCACACACACACTGAAACACTGAGTTCTCCATAATATCTTTGCTTTAGAAAGTTTCTCTGGGGCTGTGTGGTCTGACCCGTGCCTGACTCTGAACATGTGTTGCTCCCTCTTCCCACTGCACTTTAGGGCTTCTAAGTACCTGGAACAGTCTCTCCAGCTGTGTGCACAGCGCCCCTCGTGGCATCCGGACAGGTGTGCTGAGAGGCCTCTGTGGAGGACCCTGTTGAAGGTGGTGTGTCCTTCACTGGCACACACACTGCTGACCCACAGTGTTGCCCTGATTTCATCAGGACACACTTCAATGGCTAAAATAACCTCACTAATTTTTTTTTTTTTAAGAGAGAGTGGGAGAGAGAGAGAGAGAGAGAGAGAGAGAGAGAGAGAGAGAGAGAATTTT